AATACAGGGATGATCGATAACCATCAAGAAAATGCCGCACGTATAACCTAAATTACAGAAAAACACAAGAACCCACCGGTTCGTTGACATCGCAAGCAACCAATAGACCAAACAACGAATTGTACGACAAATAATGCCTAGTACATGCACAAACAAAGAAAAATAAAGCGTTACAATAGTTTCATACACGTTTACAGTAATCACATATGCTGGCAAACGACGCAAACACAACCACGCAAATACAGCACCCGACAGCACGTACCCAAGGACAATTCAAACTCCAATTGACCGCCACCATTCTAGCCAATGAAAGACGAAAAAAAATTAGTCGCGGAAAATATAACACGAGACAACGTATATACTCACCCCTACCGCGTTGTGTCATCCACAAAAATTGAGAAAAAAGCATCACTGTGGCTGGCAGCGTGCACTGAAACGTACACAAATTAATCAAATGACTGTTCCTGAACTCGTTAGCACTAATTGTAGATCCCTGTCCAACAAAATGGATTACCTTCAATCCCTAATGTATTCCAATGTTTATCGAAATGCTGGCGTTTTAGCAATACAAGAGACTTGGCTGCACCAGCATTATGATGATAATCTAATTTCAATAAATGGATATAAAGTTTTTCGCCAAGATAGAAATAGTTCCAAGAAAAAATATGGAGGAGGGGTAGCCACATATATAAACACAAATTGGTCTACATCAAATCACGTTTGCTTCAATTATTCTAATGACAGTATAGATTGCATAACCGTCAGGTGTCGCCCAAAACACTTAAGTAAATATTCTTATATATACATAACAAATATTTACATAACACCCGATTGTAGCCTTTCTAATATAGTTATGTTTGCAGATGAGTTTACTGAATTCGCTGCTCCTGCATTCGGAAACTCGTTGTCTATAGTCTGTGGTGATTTTAATTTATGTGATCACAGCTTTCTTACTTCGCTTGGTCATGAGAATCTAGTCAAGTTTAATACACGTCTGGACAAATCACTAGACCTGGTTTTCATAAATGACCGTGATGTATATGAAACCCGAAGGAGAGCTCCTTTGTTAAATTCTGACCACTGCATTATTCGTATTTTACCGAAAGTGTACGGCAAGTCACAACGAAAATTGTTTAGTCATTTAACAAAGAAGATACATGAACGTTCATATTCCCATGACAACATTCTAGCATTAAGAAGCATGTTGCATGATACCAACTGGGAACTGTTTACTGACGATAAGTTGGATGCTACTGTCTCTAATATAACCGATTATCTGAAGTTTTGTTTGGATATTTGCTGTCCTTATGAAACACTGTTTTCGAGATTTGACAGAATCTCTTCTTTGCAACTGAAAAAACTTAGAAGACAAAAAGAGAAGTTGTATAAGAATTGTGATAATACTGGTGTCCGTAAAATAAACACCCTTATAAAAATTGAAATAGAAAGGTTGAACAGACTATATAATGAAAAATTTTTATCATGTAAAAATCCTTCAAACATTTGGAAACTTTTCAATAAACTAACAAGTAAAAAACAAATGTCCGTTGATGCTTATTCTGATGTAAATGCTTTAAACAAATCATTTATCAAGAAACAAATTAATATGGTTGTACCTGATGTACCTAGTCAAGAAAATGGTCATTTTCAGGGTTTTGAAGAAAAGGATGTACTATTATGTTTGAAGTCATTAAATCCAACACACAGCCTTGGTCCAGATGGTGTACCAAGCATTCTTCTCCAAAAGTGTGCAGACATCTTGTGTCATCCTCTTACTCAAATCTTTAACGCATCATTTAAGAGGGAAACGGTACCTGCTGACTGGAAAGAAATCAAGGTTGTACCTGTACAGAAATCATCTTCTGGAGCAGGTATAAAATTTAGACCAGTCGCTATAACATCTCCTTTTTTGAAAACTATGGAGAAACTTCTTTTGAATATTCTTAAACCTTCTTTAAAAGCTTTTAATGACCCTAAGCAGTTTGCTTATAAGTGTGGAAGAAGTACATTAGATGCAGCCATTGTACTACACCACAATATTGTTTCCTGCCTTGATAAGGGCGCTAAGTTCGTTCGAACAGCTTTTTTAGACTATACTGCAGCTTTCGACTCTGTTCCTAGGACACTTTTATTAGGAAAGATGAATTCAGCACAAACAGAGTCCTGGGCAACTAGATGGCTGTCTTCTTATTTTAAGGATAGGAAACAGCATACTGTTTTGGCTGGAAAGCGCTCCACTTCCCAGCTAACTGAAAGTGGTGTGCCTCAAGGTGCAGTACTTTCTCCATTTCTTTTCTCTTTCTTTCTGCATGACCTTCCGAACTCACCCAAAGTTAACTTCATTAAGTATGCTGATGACCTGACCGTTTCTGTCCCTGTAGTTGCCACATCGGATTGTTCCTATATGAATGGCTTCCTAGCTGAAGTTAAGGATTGGTCTCGCTCAAATGGTCTTAAACTAAATCCAACTAAATGTAACACTGTTGATTTCAGCTTGAGAAGTGAAAAAGACATGCATGGATTGATTCAATCTCATGATTGTTGTAATATTGATGGTACCATGATTGAGAGTAAGTCAAGTGTTTCTTATCTTGGCATTAGTTTCTCGTCAAATCTTTGCTGGTCGTCTCATATTCTTATAGTTTCTAAGAAAGTTTTCCGTCTGACTTATTACATAAAGAAGTTGAGACACTCAGGTATAACTCAATCTCTTATCATACAATTTATTAATTCATGTGTTTTGCCCATCATTCTTTATTGTTCTCCATTATTCTTCCCTGGGCTACTCAAGAAAGATCATATAATACTACGAAGAACATTGAGGGCTGTAAGTAGGGTCAGTGCTATCCCTTTGACTGAACTAAATGACACTGTTGTCAATAGGCATATGAATTCTTGTAAACACTTAGCTAAAGTTATCTTATCTGATAGTGAACATCCTCTTTATTCACAATTGTTTCCTTGTATCTCTTCGGGTAAGACCAGAAGAAATTTTATAAACATTTATGCTCGTACTACAAAATATAAAAATTCGACCGTTCCATATTTGGCACGAGTATTGTGTGAAGAGACAAATATCAGAAAAGAACTTTTACAACTTTTGAATCAGTAACTAAACTATAAAATGAAATGATGCATATTAATGCAAGTGTTATTTGTTATATTATTTATTTATTATTCACTATGACCTAGAAATGGTATGATTTTGTTGGGTTTTTTATTTTTATTTATTTTTTTATTATTTTTTCCTATTAACTATCAATATTTTAACATTTTATATATTTATATAATTATAAACAGAGCTAAACCATTGCAATATGTAAAAGAAACGCTGAAAATTCCATGCTGTAAATTTTTATTGTTGTGGAATAAAGTGATTATTATTATTATTAACAGGCCAAATTTCGTTCCAGTAACACCAAAACACGACTTTTGATTTAATCTGCGATACGACTAAACATTAGTGAGTTATGTCAGAACTGCAAAAACAGTCTGCTAATAACTTCGGATACTTCTCCATTTCAAAGATATCCCAGATACCAAATACGTAATGTGCAGCAAAATTAATTTGCCGAACACAATTTCAAAAACAAAATAAAGCCAAAATTCTAACTGCAGTTATCAGATAGGATCAGATAGGCTGCCTGTGAACAGTTGAAAAGGTAGCAAGCGCAGGCAATAAGAGAAATTTACGAAAGGAGCAAAGCTTCATCCATTTCGCCTCCAATGACTAATTTGTTTATTCATTCTATTGGAGGCACAATGTGAGCAAATGGGTTTTCAAAGGATTCTGAGAAGAGATAGGGCAAGTTTGATGATTGCAGGACTGTGCCTGATGATTCCAAGCAGCCTAGCTCGTTTTCGTGTGCCAACTCGGTCCCCCCACTGTGTGCCGTATTTTCAGTGTTATTGATAAGTTTATAGTGACTATTGTCCGTGTTTTGCTGCTTCCTTATAGATAGCTGAAGGGTGACTGCATTCTGATTGTCAGTGATGTGTGCTTTAAGGGACGAAAGCATGGTGGTTGCATTGTATTTAGTGGGTTTATACTTAACACATCTGCATATCTATTCAATCAGTTAGATTCTAGAACATTTGCTATGTTGTTACTTCTCTTGTGAGGAAGATGGAGCGAAATGTTGTTCGCGAGTTTAGTTTGCTATGACGAGGACTTTCTGTATCACTCTGTTGATGTATTTGCTTACTGTAAAAAAATTCGAAAAAGGAAGGGCGTTGTGCTCTTCTGAAGGACATAATAGGGTTTTCAGATAGCATTTCGTCTGATACTCGATTTCTAGAGTAGATAACTTGGTGAGTAAAATAATGCACTACAGTACAACAATTCACTTTTGGCTCTACGATGTTGGCTCTGTGGGATGTTTTATATAATGAAAAGGAGCAGATTAGGTAGACAAGTACGTATGTGTATGACTATGAAAGAAGTGTGTGATGAGTGAAAACTAAATTAGCAGTCACATGGTCAGTAGTATTCTCTCGTGTCCAATTGTTCTTTCTATCATTACCGGATAAAGAGACTTCGAATAGATGTCTGACAAGACAGTGTTCTTTATTAAGACGGGCGAAATCCCAAAACTAAAACGCGATTTTTCAAGTATTACAGTAGACGTCAAAAGAAATCCTAGGGAATAATCTCTTTGCTTTACGAGATATATCTACATAAATAAACTGTAATGAGACAGCTGTTCGTAACCTTTAGTGTAAATATGTTTACTCAGAAAGGTCACGAAAGCACACTGACCATTCTGTGTTGTAGCAAGCCCCTAGAGATTAAAAAAGTACGTTAAAGCACATATACAATACTTTCATTCGCTGAGATTTTGTTTATTCGCATAATAATGTCTTAAGAGAATAGACACAAAGTATTTTGTTTGCTTTTGTTTTAGTCCCACAAACTGCAAGGTCGTAGTCTTGGCATAACTTTGACATGCTATCAACCAAATGATAGGAATTATTATTAAAAAAAATTAATATTTAGAACTATGGAGGAGAAGCTCGAGGGTCTTATTATGTCTCTTGCATATTACTGCTCAGATGCCAATGTTGTCAAATGCAAGGAAGAAGACTTTCAAGCCATACGGTGCAATGTAAAAAAGATTAGCTCCTTATTATCTTCAAGTAGTTAATTTTAATTTAAGAATTTGATTCATTGATAGGTGAATGCCGTAAAATGTTTTTTGATCATGATTTGTACTTGGGCCATCTGGCTTTCCTCCTACAGGTATTCGTTCGAAATATCATTATTCTTTTTAGTTTTTGAACGACAGGATTGTGAGGAATCAAATCGTTCGTATTTTGTTCCGACTTCTCGGGAAATCAGGTGAGAGGAAAAATTTGCAAGTGTGTAAGGTGTTGTAGAACAAACGAGTGTTTATCCTCTTACGTACTACATGAAAAAATGTACGATTTGTACTTTATCTGATAACTATCCTTTTCATTTGCAACTCAGTTAGATACTCTGCTTCTGCAGTTTCACAAGCGTAGGATGCTAGATAAATGGTCTAATAGCTGCAGAAGTATGTCTGAAAGAAGACCAAGATACATACTAGTTTCTAAACTGTAGTTATCAGTCCTACTTTTAATGGTGTTCAACTCTTACTTTCAGTTTAAATTATACGCTTTTCGTTTCTGAACTCTTAAATGAATTTGCATCAGCTACAGTACCCAATAGTTTGCCGTGGCACCATATTATTAGGCTTCAAATAATCTCTTAACCAAGTACTGGAAAATTTCCTAATCTTTTCAATTTATCTGGGTGCATTTTTTCAGGCATTATTCTATTATCCGTATTTGTATGATATAATTTCCTTCTGTAATATTTGTGTTGAAAAATATATTCTGTTTTCACAAGGATTTCAAACTCGAGCTATTGTGTTGATCAAAAAAGGAATAACAAGAGCACTGTTTCACGCTCTTTATATGGAGTTCTCAGAAACAGCTCCCAGTGAAGAATTTTTATTGAAAATACACCAGGTAAATCCCTTATCGATCATGTGTAGGCGTTTAGCATACTTTTATCTTTTTGAGGGAATCGATGTTAAAGTATACATACCAGTTCGCCGAATAAACTGCTGTTATCATTTAGACTGTCATTTCAAGTTAGAAAATAGTAGATAGACTTTGTTTCGGCATTGATCTTATTCTTTCCCCTCCTATGTTAAGCCTGAGATTAGTAGGCTTTATAGGTAGACATTTTTCTAATGGCTTCATAGTTCATAAAATTCTACTATATGAAATACATTTATTGAATTTGTCATTCTTGTGCATATGATTTGAGTGCACTAAATGTTTGTCTACTTATTCTATGAGACTGTATCTCATCTCAATTTTTTACAAAGAATAAATTTTGCACAAATTTTGATTAACAGGAGTATAGTAGTAATATTTATGCTTTCTGATATCAAGTCCCACATCCCAGAAGTGCGATTGGTAATTATTTGAGAAACAATGACATAAGCGTATGTGTATAGTTTAGACGTAAATCAAGTTTGTTACGATGACAACCTTTTTAGTCAAGTTTTACTTATTTTTGGTGGCATGGACAATCCGAATGTATCTTTTATAATTCTTCACACAAGGTGAAACTAATTTATTTTATGCCATTAAATTTGAACCTACTTTCTAAAACGTAGCAATCATCAAGTGGACTGCCCATATTATAAATACCTCATTGTGATTTATTCACAGCGTACATGTAGCTTTTGTATGAGATATTTAAGTAGCCTAAGTACAACTCAAGCCTAATGTATATTCACCTATTGCCAAAGTATCTAGTGTTAGTCACCCATGGAGGCCATTTTCAATATAAAATAGTTAGTAAGGAAGTTTTGTATGATTATGTCATAGCGTTTTAAATATGTTTCTTAGTTACTTATATACGGTTAGGTAACTTTTCAAAATCTACCCCACGTATAATTCTTTATATATTTACAGAGAGAAGTTCACAACTTGTGAAAAGGAATAAAGCTGAGTCTCTTTCTTTGGTTTAGAGTGTAACATTGGTTTGTGCAGTTACATAGTTGCAGCAACAACACGGATAACCATTACATATATATATATATATATATATATATATATATATATATATATATAGCCCTTGTATAAAGCATTTTTCCCTTCACTTTCCCCAGTGGAACATAGAGCTTCGAACTAGTAGCTTGAAGTTTCTGTAGCAGTGTTAATTTTACAGGATGGAGTTGCTAGCCTCATACCAAATCTTTCCTCTTTACCATCATTATTTCTGGCTTAGCGAGGTAAAGGAGTGCTTCGGCCGGGGACCGAACCCCGGACCATGTGCATGTATAAAGCATAACCGTCTTAAAATAGTTGAGTCTTATCCAATTGAAACACAGCACTCGTACTAGTGTGCTGAAACATACCAGTGAGTGTTGGTTGGCCTGGCCAGTCAATCATCGCTATAGCATATAAACCCGAATGATTGAAGCATCGATGTTAGTTGGCCCAGACAGCAGGTTGGCGACATCATCAGTGACACTAGTCGTCTGCCAAGTCAATCAGCACTACAGCATATGTGCGTCGGTGGTTCGGTGGTAGAATGCTGGCCGACTATGCACGTCGTCCGGGGTTTGAGTTCCGGCAGACGCACTCCTTCACTTTACTTGGCCGGTTATAATTCCGACAAAGAGTAGAGGTTAGGTGTGAGGCTAGAAACTCCACCCCACAAAAAACGCAATGCTACTGAAACTTCAAAGCGAAAGCTTGAAGCCGTATGTTCCACTGGGAACGCAAAGAAATAGAAAAATCCAGCGGCAATAATAATTACTACGTTGTATTATATGAATGACATCATATCAAATATTGATCATCTTTGATTGTAATAAGTTAGCTTAAAGCTCATTCCTTTAGTTGGTAAGTGAATGATTAGGTAACACTTCAATCCTTCTTCGTATTTTATTTCCCTCTGAAAACATTGTAAATGCAAATGACCTAATATATATTTTTTCAACACTGACTAACATGAAAGTTCAGGCTGTGCATTTCATTCCACCATGCACTTTATAAGGTGTATATACCTACACTAATATTCATCAGATTCAGTTTAATCTTTGGATTCAGCAACCTGATCTAGTAATTCCTGTATAATTAAATTTGATGACATACAGATTCAGACTAACAGTTTTTTATTCAGTGATTCACTTTCAAAAAATGTTGTTTTTTACAAAAATATTTAGTTACTTTGTCGATTGGGCCCAATGGATAAACGTTTTGGAATTCGTGCAAGAGTTAGTCATTGTATTCCAATTACAATCAATTTGCTTAGAGTTCAAGTAAGTACATGTTCCTTAGATAAATAAGTAAATAATATGCCTATTTAAGGTCATAATCTGTTCTTCTAATCTACTTTTTTTCATCTTATATGTGTATGCCTCAATACCTTGCATAAAATAACCGAATACTAACTAGCCTCGAGTACTTCTTCAATTTATAACATCTCATTCTCTGAAGTAGTACTAAACCAGTCAGTGTTTGTCTGATCAACAAATCAGTGATATGAACACCATATATGTGCTATTACTATTTCTTTTGATAATCACATAAAGAATAGGGATCCAATAAATCTGTAAGCTTATAGGGAGTGATTTACTATTTATTATTCCTTAAGGTTCCGAGTGGAACATATGGTTTCGGCAACACATCTTCACTTTCTTCTGTTTTCTTCTACAGTCTTCACTTGAGTCACAAATGTCCATAATCTCTCATCTCCTCCAGCTCACACGATCTGCTCCACGTCACCTTGACAATGACGACCCACTCATCGCTTCCTATTCGGATTCCACGCTTGAACTCGTTTGGAAATGGTGTGATGTTATTCGACGGTCTCCTCAGTATGTGCCCTATCCATTTCCATTTTCTCCCACATACTTATTGAGCAATCGGATCTTGCCTGTTGATTTGTTGCCAGAGTCTCTTGTTGCTAAGTCTTTCCATCGGCCATTCGATCTTTATTTTGGAGCTATCTAAGTTGGTAACTGTTGATAAACGTCTGTAATCTATTGGGAATCCGTTTTGTGACACACAGTACAAGTGTCTGACCCATATAAAAGCACTGGCCAACTTCACATTTGTGTTGAAGATCAGAATTTTGTTCTTTATGCGGAGTGCAGAAGATTTCTAAACTATTTTCCAGTTGATGAAGATGTATATTGCTTTTCCGATTCTGGCTTATTTTGACATCTTCATACGTCTTAACTGCTTAGGGTTGGAACGATGCTTCCTAAATAATTGAAGGAAGTTACCTCTGTTGGATCTCTTCCTTTGATGGTGATTGGTGCTGGTTGTTGTTGCTGTGGTTGGTTGGTTATCTTCATCTCCTCCGTCTTTTCTATGTTCACCTGGAGTCTTGTCTTTGCTGCCTGCCTCTTCTGCCACTTTGTTGGTTTTCATCTGCAAGTCTTCGCGTTTGTGTGCGTGTGTGTAACATTAAAAAAAAATAAATAATCTGCGAAGTCCATATCTTCTAGAGTCTTGTTATCTGTCCAACATGTTCCTGTTTCCTCTCTGCATACAGCCTGATGTATAATCGATTCCACCACATTTAAGAATATCATCAGTGATAATAGACCGCCCTGTCTTACTGTCGTATTCACTTCGAACGCCTTGAAGAGTTTTCCGTTGTGGGTCACCTAACATGTGGCATTGTGATGAATGAGCTTGATAAAGATTTGGGGCACTTCACCTCATAGTGTTGAAGTAGTTTCCAAATTACTTCTCAGTCAACTCTGTCGAAGGCCTTTTCAAAGTCGATGAAGTTAAGGTACGTGTTTGACTGGCATTCCGTGCTTTGTTCTGTGATGATGATGTGTAGAGTTGCAATGTGAACGGCTCATGATTCGCTTTCGCTGAATCCAGTTTGTTCCGGGTTGGCGGAGTTCTGTATCCAGTGCATCTTCTATTCTCTTCAGGATGATTCGAATTAGTATTTTACTTGGCATGGACAAGGGCATTATTTCACACCAGTTCTTGTAGAGGCCTAAGTCGCCCTTCTTTGGCAGCTTGATAAGGTAGCCAGCCTTTCTTCCAGTCGGTAGGAACCTTTCCTTCCTTCCAGAATTTTGTGATAATGTCACGAACACATCTGCAGCAGTCTCTGGGTCTGTTTTTAGTGCTTCTGGGGGAATTCTGTTTAGCCCTGGTGCCTTACGAGACTTCAGTAGCTTGGTTGCATTCAAGATTTCCGCTTTTGTTGGTGGATTGCTGTCCACTGGTGGTTTTGTGGCTGTTGGTGGTGGTTGTATTTCTGGGTGACTTGTAGGTGATGGTCGATTCAAGAGTCGAGAAGAGTGTTCTTTGCTCAATCTTATTTTTTATCTTCTGAATTTGTAGATTGGAGTTTTCTCTCTTGATGCTAAATTGTCGTGGTGATTCCCCCTCCTTGAGCTGTGTAATTCATTAGCAACAAATTTGATTCCATGTGTCATCAGTTCACCTAAGTAATCAACCAGAATTCTGGTCGTTGGAACCGGTTCGTTTCTCTGATTTGAGTTATGCTGCGAACATTGTTGATAAACTCGGCTCCGAACAGGTGGAATAGTCACCTGGTGTTCATAATGCCTCGATCTGGCCAGAAAGAGCCCTACTATTAGATGTGAATGATTTTCTACTCCTCATCTCAGTAGTCAGTCACCAGTGGTTACCATCACATTACTTCATCTGCAAAACATTGAAACTTTTTTCCATCAAATTATTCAAGTTTTGTAGACATCAAATGCTACAAAATAAATTTCATATCTCTTCAATAGAGTAATTTGATTTAGTGAAATACAGAGTGATACAAGATTCTATATTGTACTGATGACTTTTCTAGCTTTTGAAATCAGGTAAGTGTGGGGTTCATCCTGCCGCGAATGAGAACAAATGCTCTCCGCCAATGACATTGGCTTGTGCCAGTCGCGTTAAATTAATCACGAATTCGTAGAAGTTAGAATTCATAGGCTGGCCACTGAGTCGCGTCCCAGTAACTGAATGGTCTACGAGCTCGCCTTGTAACCGGAAGGTCCTGAGCTAGAAATATGGTGGGTGCGTACTGCCGATGAATCTCAAAACAGCTGTTCAGTACTCCAGTGCTGGTTTTTTTTGGTGACGATTCTCTCACTCATATCACTCCTTGGTCAAACTTGAAAAACATAAGTTATCACGAAAACAAATTTACTTCCATTTCTTTCCCGCCTATTTAAATTAGGAAAATAAAAGAGGCGGTGAATTACGAACCGAATTTCCTCAGTTAGTTGATCAAATGTGGTTTTGTATTACGTGTATAGAGAAATAACTGTAAACATATTAGAAGTTACTTCTAGTTGTCCGTAGGGCGATTTATCTATCTGTTTTACACAGCTAAAATATCTGTTGTAGTGTTTGAAATGCTGTGCGCGAAGAAAGAGCACATTGCGATTAGTTTTACCTTCATCCTTTAAAATCACTCTAACGTTTGAAAATTCCTTATTTAAATAAACAAAACATAGATCAGTGATTAAACAAAGAAAAACAATCTTTTCGACCAGTTGCTTTTCGTCAGCTTCTACATTACGTTAAGAAAAACTTTTGTGAATATGCGGGTTTTGTAAAAAATCCAATCGTTTCAATCAAAGAATTCGAGAGGATTTTCTCATACAGAGAAAGGTGTGTGCAAGTGAGTAAAGGTCACTAGATTACATTTTGTGTAGGTGTATCCCACCGGCGTAAGCACTAAGCTTTCAGTTGCGAATAGTCTCTGGGTTGGAATCTCTCTCTGCTCTCTTCTGCCTAGGCAACTGAGTAGTATCATCACCCCTCACGAAATATTAGATTTAAGGACCCATTATGACTAACGCCATTAAGGCAGGTGAAATTTCAAATCATATATATATATGTATATATATATATGTATATGTGATATCGATCCATGATCTAACTTTAAATCAATCAAATCTCCGCAAACGAACACTTGAAAATCAGTCTCATGCTTATGAGTGATTAATTATTGTACGCAGTTGCCTGGAGTCCTAGTGGGGTGTGTACCCAAGTGGGTTACATCATCTGGTTGATAGCTGCTATCTTGATGTGGTGGTGGTCGGGCTGGCATATCACAATAACTCAATAAGCTATATACTGGCTGGAACTAATGTTTTAGCAGTCTTGCTATGGTAGAAATTTCGTCTGGATAGCGGTTAGACTAAAACCAGTTACCATGGTAGGGCGAATCGCTTACACTATTTTGGGAGTCTATGGGCGAAGTCGTACTGCTGGCGAATAGGAATATAACAGTAGTAAGGCGTTTTTCTCAGATAATCAGCAAGCCAACTATACTGCCTCTTCATCCTTGAGAGGGAGGGTTTAAAAAAAGGTCGACACCGAAAAACTGCGCATCCCGACTTACCTTAAGGTGGTGGTCCGTAGCGGGAGCTAAGGTCTTAATATGGACACGACTTCATAAACCAATCCAGACAGGCCGTGTGTGATTGGCCTCAAACAGTTGTTCCTTTGGCTCTGCAGCTCCGCACAATAATAATGCTCTTTATATTTCAGGTGCCATAAGAAATCAACTCCTAAGATGAAGGCTGACGTGAAGTAATAACTGCCCACACACTTCCGCGGGTCCACAAAGTCAGTTATTCGGGAGTTCAGAAGGTCAGATTTGAGGAGAAATACTCTCTATTGATACTGACTGGCGGTGGCGTTATGTATCATGAATTGGCAGAGGTTAAAATCTGTCTGTCTGGATTCAACATAGAACTTGGCACCGAAGTGCACCAGTTAGAGTTGCCACGTTCCAAATAGCACACAGAAGTAGACAAGAAGATGAGCGAAGAGAATCAATACAGTCTGACAAGTATAAGAGTGAAACAGAATGGGTAATGGTAGAAAGGAATATGAAAGATTACAGAGACTGAATACATCTGCGCTGGCCATTGACAACGATTTTGAGCCATGTCACCTATTGTCTCCAGCCATTGATTCCTAGAGTCAGTCCCGAGGGCCCCAACCCGGAATTCTGCATCTCCCTACCTGACCGACTCAGTTTAACTGTCAAAGATTTCATGGATTGATGAGGCCATGTTTTTGTTTGTCCACCACTTACCCTTTTCCAACCTGCACCTATATCAGGTACAGAGGTTAAAATTCATTAGATGGCCATTCGATTCCGTCTCAGTGGTTGAATGGTTAAGGATATCGATTGGTCACCTGAAAGTTCTAGGTTCGATCCTCTATAGGGTCATGGGTGGGCACTGCTGAAGAGTCTCAGAGTAGAAAGAAACATCCGCCCGAAAAGCATTACTTGTTATTATTAAGGCAAAAACTTGATACATAATGAGCACCAAGAGACGCGCCACACAAAACCTCATAGTTATGAAAGGGGCTAGAATAGTGCCCGAATACTCGGACTGAAGCAAGTGGTTGTCTTAAGACAGTGGAGAAGAGTAAGGAGCTACGTTCCCATGGTTCCGCATTTCGGATTATGAAGCCCGTGTACACCCTAGGTTTGAAATGGGGTTTTACCAGCTCTCCTAGGTAGACCTGCATGTCCACCAGTCTGGCTGTAAGCACCAGACGTGTTCGCACTCGCCCTTCCATTTTTGGCAAAAACACCCTCCTTAAAAGCAATCGATGGTTTTTAATAATTCTCTAACTGATATCAATCAATAGTCTAACTTGAAGGTGATCAAACTGCAACAGATGAACACTTGAAAAATATTTTAATCAACATAACATTAAAATCAGGGAGTACTGGACAGCTGTTTCATCCTAGTTTGGGAATCATCGGCAGTACGCAACCAACGCCAGGGTTCGAACCCGAGACCTTCCGGTTACAAGGCAAGCTCGTATACCATTCAGCCACTGGGACCAGACCCGATTCAATGACCAGCTCATGATTTCTAACTTCTACCAATTCGTGATTTTAGGATGAAATAGCTGCCCAGTACTCCCGGTTTTCAATGATTCTTTAACTCATATCAATCCGTGATCAACTCGTAAAAACAAAACTTACCCTTACAAACCAAACTATAGAAAATTAATCTGATGTTCGCTATTGACTAGCTACAGGATGGAGTTTCCTGGAGTTCTAGTGAGAAGTCTTGACCAGCGAGGTCCATCCAGATGTCACGTGTGAGGATGGATGTCCCACCTACGACAATGACTGGTATCGCGCTAAATCACGAATTGGTAGAAGTTAGAATTCATGGGCCGTCCACTGAATCGGGTCTGGTCCCAGCTCCTGAATGGTATACGAGCTTGCCTTGTAACCGGAAGGTCTTGGGTTCTAACCCTGGCGTTGGTTGCATACTGCCGATGATTCCCAAACTAGGATGAAACAGCTAGCTGTCCAGTACTCCCTGTGGCTGGTTTTCAATGGTTCTCTAACTCATATAAATCCATGATCAACTCGTAAAAACAAAACTAACCCTTTCAAACCAAACTAAAAGAAAATATAACATTAAATTGACCAATAATTAATTTCTTTTTTTGCGCGTCTTTCATCTTATTTTAGGTAGCTATATTGAGTTCATTAACTTGTAATTCTACCTTATCTTTAACACTTACAAATGGAGCCACATCCACATTGAATACAAATATTACATCATATTATTATAATCAATTAGTTAATACACCCAATGGTAGCAGTACTAATACTACGACGACCACCGCCAGCACCAGCGCCTCTACTCCTCCTAATAGTTCTACACATTATTCATTACATGGAAATATTGGACAAATGAATACTACTCTTGTAAATAATCTACACTTCCCGTCGTCATCACCGTCATCATCAGCACCGCCAGCAGCCTCGTCCCTACTAACAGCAACACCGGCATCATCTTCAACTGGGCTAATAGTTTCACCAAGTGTACATAGAAATTTAAGTATTCTCTTGCATATAATACGCTTATATGTATCTGGAAAATGTGGAAGTAAAAGTAATTCATCTATACTGGGACGTTCTGGTGCTATCAGTCTAGTAATACGCCTGATATCACTTATCTCTGGATTACATTTGTTTAAACCAATTACACCAGATATAACATCCTTACCGACATCATCATCGTCGTCAGTGGGAGGAGCACCAACACCGACAACAGCTGTAACGGCAACCGCAACCACAAACACAACAATAACTCCCGTGTTAACATCATCACAAAATCAATACAGGATTCCTATCAGTGTCATGGGGATCCCATCAGTTACGATAATGAATACGAATACTACGGTTCCTAATACAACGCATACTACTTCTACTGCTACTAATAAAACGTCTAATTCAACGACTGGTCATAATTCCAATGGACTTACCCTATTTATCAACTCACCAATTAACGGGAATCATTGTAAGGATAATACTAATGCTAATACTAATATGAATGATAATAATGACCAATCATTATCGAGATCACCAATGGTAACAAGTAACAATAATAATAATTTAAATTCTAACCAATCAGCAATTAATGGTGTGCATATTGGAAATGAGAATGGCTTGATTGTTGGGAGTCAAGTGGTTGCAGCTGTGACTGCTATAGCCTCAGCTGCTGCGTGTATACAACGTTTACGCCAAAAAGATGCCAAATCAGCACCGACATCAACATCATGTATGTCAACAGGTAGTGTAGCTTCAAAGCTGACTACACATTATACTGGTGGGTTGTTGAATTCAGCAACAGCTTTACTTTCAACTATACCAACTTTGATTGCTACTGGAGTGAAGCATAATGCTTATTTATTACGTGTATTGGTGAATACATTACATTGTCTTATAAAATGGAGTAAGTATAGTTGTTATTACTATGATTATTATTATTATTATTCCTGTGGGTTATTTGGGGGGGGGAGATATAGGGCTTCAACAGTACATATTCGTTTTCCTCTGATCTCAACAATTACTTTCATCTCCACTTTATATTGTAAAGACAGAAGACAAGGGCCAGACAACAGATCATTTATTGTTAGCAGAGAAGCAGCGTCTTCTGATTGGTTGTTTTCTTGCTCAAGGTTATTCTGTGTACTGCTAGTGACCGTTTTCCTTTAGAAAGTAAAGCCATCTATCTGCAATTCGTATTTGCACACATTAAGTCTGCTGTGTGATTGGTTGGTGAGTTCCTCAAGGTTAAGCTTTGTTATTGTTTTTTCTCATGACCAAGCTTGCAGACAACTGCCACCGCAACATGATATCCTCCATTTCATTGCTTGACTGACAGCCAACCCGTCGTTCTTTATTGAGGTTCTACTCGAGCAATGAATGACCTAGCGGAAGAATTTGCTAGACAGCCTCTACAGAAGTATAAGTTGAACAGTATTGTGTATTGGTTGAATTCTGAACTCAATCTTCAAAGTGAAGCGTTTTGCACAAAAAATGCAGCAATTCTTGTTCAGCTTGCTGCTACACATCACATGGAACACATTGATGGGCGGAAATATACTGGAGAAACAATAATTATATGACGAATGATAAGAATTTAAGGAACTATCAGGATGCGTTGCGCAGCAGTGACTTTAGAATCTACAAGTTGCGTTCAGAAGCTAATTTGGGTCCCTAACTTAACCCTATTCCTCATCTTTGTTCAACGTAACCCTAGAGTATCCCCAACTGACCTTAGTATACCGATTATTAGCTCAACCTAACTGTTAGGAACAGCTTAACCTGTCCCTGTTCTAAACCTTACTTTAATCTTTCCATAACCTGCCTCAAAACTGACTAAATAGGTTGTTTAATATCTTTAAACCTATTTAAAACCTTTTATCATGCGTATAGTGTTATTTACGTGGTTTTACTGCCTTACGCTGATCGAGCGTTTCAAGGTCATTGATGCGTTTGTGTTCGTTGGGTGTCCAAAGTTTAACTTCGCCGTGGGACTTCATAAAGCGTGAATGTATCTACCCATTGGCAAAGATTTTGAGGTATTTTATCAACAGTTTCGAACCACAGGTTCTTAGTATCTCGGAGACTCCAGCCAGACAGTCTGCACTTCCTAAAATGACTAGAACCAACAGTTAACGACTTCACGGATTGATAGCGTGTTTTGATTTGACCATTCATAAGTCTTTTCCAACCTATAAGAATAAACAGTTCAACAAAGAGGCTCTTTTCTGCGGCGAATTCATTCACTTAGCTGTACAATCGCGGTTATATGTAATCATTTTATGTGTGTGTGTACATCAGGATTGTCAAACAAAAATTAGTTAGGGTTATTGTTTACGTCATCAAAATATCCCAGAAAATGTGATGAATAATCTAATTGTAACTAGGGGGTGGGCGAAGATTAATAGGTATTGACAAGGGTTACGTAACACGAAAGACAACCAGAAAAATAAGATTTTAATGAAAGAGCATGGTGGCATGTGTCCAGAATAAATCATGCAATAGGTAGAAAGAGTAAATAAAAGGTTTATATTTAGTAGATGGATGGTGACTAGCAGTGGAATCCAGGATAAAGCGCATTTCGTCCTATTTGGGACTCGTCAACTGGATGTACCTGCATTTCTCATTGAGTGATGATGTTCCCACTGGGGCTCGAACCCAGTGCCCATAGTTTCAAACGCCAAAGTGTTATCCACTAGACCAGTTGGGCCACGAGAGCCACCTCTTGTGCAACAGGTCAAATGCTCAGACATCGTCGAAGCGTCTGCTCAAGAAGCCGACATGTCAACCTGAGAGCGAGCACTTCGGTCCAATCAATCGACGGGAAAATCTCAAATTCAACTAAATCAATATGACCCGTTGCACAAGAGGTGGCTCTCGTGGCCAAAGTGGTCTAATGGATAACACTTTGGCTTTTGAAACTATGGGCACTGGGTTCGAGCCTCGATGGGAACATCATCACTCACTGAGAAATGCAGGTACATCCAGCTGACGAGTCCCAAATAGGACGAAATGCGCTTTATCCTGGATTCCACTGCTAGTCACCATCCACCCATTAAATACTAATTAGATGCCCAGACATCGTCGAAGCATCTGCTCAAGAAGCCAACCTGAGAACGAGCACTTCGGTCCAGTCAATCGACGGGAAAATCTAAAATTCAATTAAAAAAAATAAAAGGTTAGTTAAGAAAAGATGTTACTAAAATGTCATACAAAATTGCAGAAAATATTATTAATAACAAAATAGTTGACCTTGGAATTATACTGAAGGTGGAAGGAGGGGATGAAGAAGTTTCTTCAGTATACATAAATCCGGGTTTTCTATCCGAATTGTTAAGGCTTGGGCAATACAAAGTATACCGTTATCGGAGGCTTCTTTTAAGTTTGTAGATGACTTTGGATGAATTCTCCTTATATATTGAAGGACCAGTGTTGAATATATGTCCAATTATAGCACTCTTTATTGATCCACTATTAACTTTTCGTAGCCAAGCAGGATAATGTTCTATGGCTCTTTTAGATAAAACACGCATCAAATGACGTTTACATATACCCCTTTCCATATGAGCAAGTAAATTGGTAGATACACAACGAAGTGGTCAAACGTGATAGTTTATCTTTAGAGTGATTGAAGAACAATGGGCAGCGTGAGATCGCCATTCGTAATGTAGCAGCCCGGAATGTTCTTTTCAAGGCGTTACATATTTTCCTCTTCAAAATGTCTGCCAGAAGGTCACCTTCGAAAGCCACATTCATGTACAGCATTTCTTTCGCACAGAGATGGGTTGTTCTTTGTTGTTTTTCGGCTTTATATTTTTACCTATAAAGCGTGATGGATAGTTATTTTCAAGTATTCTCTTCTTCAAAATACACCTTCCAACCTAATCTTAGTTCAGCTAACATCGACCGACGAGGAAGTCAATTTCATGGCATATATAATATTGTATGTTCTAGTTGTCTCAATCGATGAAGTTTCACAACCTCAACAGTTGACTTTCGATCCACACTTAACACTTCACTCTTAATCTAAAATTCGCTCACTATGTTATACAAACTATTTTCGAAGATAACCATCCTCTTCAAGTTTTCTACTTTCGACGTCCACATTTCAGTAGAAACACTTTGATCGTGTGGTTTTAATAGGTCAGTAGCACTGTTTTATTTGTTAAGGTCGCTGCCAATGATCCCTGAACTAAAAGAAGGTGAAGAACCTACTCGCGGAATGATATTCACACTATCAGGAAAGCTTTGTAGGCTTGTGCAATGGAGTGAATTGTTATTACTCCCCGTCTGTCCACATCATTGAAGTTGGGTTTTTAAAAAAATACCTGTAACAGACAGAGTATTAATGGTCTATGAGCTCATATTGTAACCAGAAAGTCCTGGGTTCGAATCCCAGTGGGAGCGTACTGATGAAGAGTCCCAAAATAAAACGGAACGGCTGTCTGTCTAGTACACCCTGCTGACTTTTCAATGGTTCTCTAACCGATGTCAGGTAATGATGAAGTCCTCGAACCATTCAAACAAAATCCCTACAAACCAAAACTTGAAGATAGAGTATTAGTTTCAAGTACTTGTTAAACCCATGGGACATTATATTCGGTAGAATTGAAAGAAATAACATCGTCACCTGCTATTCTGTCTCATTTATTGAATACCTGAGGTTTCTGTAAACAAATAGGTGACATTAACTGTAACTTTCAACTACAATTTCTTGTCTTATGTTATTTAATCAGCTTCGTTGAGAAAGTAGACCTAAAGAGCGTTCTCTTTTTACATTCTACCACTACAGATACATCTTATTACTATCATTATTCCCTTGGGTTCCGAGTGCAATATAGGGCCTTCACAGACGCACGTAGTCTTTGTGTAATATAGAAGCACTGACTGACTGACTGACTTGAAATTAGTGTTGAAAATCCTGATTTTGTTATTTGTGGTGAGTGCGGTATATATCCACTCTGACTGTAGAGTAATGAAGGTCTTTCTTGCGTTTTCAATCCTGATTGCCTGTGATATCCTCATCTTTGCCACCTACAGTGAAAGGAAATGCCTCTCTTCAAATTTCAACCACTAATGGTGATTGGTGCTTGTTGTTGTTGGCGGTGGGGGTGGTGGTTAGGTATTTTCGTTTCGCTTGAAGACCTGTCCTTCCTTCCTGCCTACCTCCTCTTCTTCTAACTTGTTGATTCTCATATATACATCTTTGAGTTTGTTTGCCACTAGACACAAGTCATCTGCAATGTCCAGATATGTCAGTGATTTATGGTTACTCCAACGTATCTTTGTCTTCCTGCTCCCCAAGGTCTGTCACATGATCCAATCCACCTCAATTAAGTAGACCATCGGCAAGCAGACTTAACTTACTCTCCTGTCTCCATTTGAAAGGTATTACTGAGTTTCCCATTGGAGATCTGTTGATATGTGGACTCACACAAAAAACTTGGAGGATCTGGACTTCGCCGACGATATATGTCTGATTTCCCACAAACTGGAAGATATGCAAGTGAAAAGCAACAAGCCGGCAGAAGAAGCAACAAAGATAGGACTACAGGTGGACATAGAGAAATCAGAGGTGATGAAAATTCCTGGCCAACAACAACAGACAACAATCAGCATAAATGGCAGGATCCTGAAAGAAACAACCTCCTTCACCTGCCGACCTGGAAGCATCGTTTCAACTACAGACGAACGGAACTGACGAGGATATCAAAGTGGGAGGATCGGAAAAGCAAGACAACCTTTCATTACTCTCAAGTCTGTGTGGAGGTCAACATCACTCAGCATGAAAAAGAGAATAAGATTCGGATTTTCAACTCCAATGTGAAGTCAGTACTACTCACTATACGGATCAGAGACTCGGCGCCGAGTCATAAAGAGCATCTCAAACAAACTACAGACCTTCATTAACAGTTGTCTTCGCTCAATACTCAAGATCAGATGGCCGACCAGAAAAGATCACCAACTGGGATCTCTAGGAGCGAACCAATCAGGAACCGATTGTGAAACAAATAGGCAGGAAGAAGTGGAGATAGATTGGCCATACTCTGAGGAAACCATCAAGCGACATCACTAGACAAGCCATCGCTTGAGCGGAACCCGAAAGGGAAGCGGCGAAATGGTCATCAGTGCAAGGGTGACTTGGAGGAGGTCATGTGAAGAGGAGATGAAAGTATGTGGGCAGACTTGGAGCGGGGTGAAAAAATTGGCAGAAAACGAACGCAATGGAGACGCGCGGCTGAAGCCCTATGTTCCTCTAGGAAATAAAGGAAATAATAATGATATGTGGCGTTGTCATGTAGAGCTCTTAAATTAGGTTTATGCGTGTTTTGGGATACTCCGTAGTGTTGGGACAGTTTCCAAATCACTTCATGATCAAAACTGTAAAAGGGTTTTTCAAAGTCGATAAAGTTGAGGTAGGGATTTGACTAACATTCATTCTTATGCTCTGTTCTATAACAGTGATCATAATAATGATGTGTAGCGTTGTGATGATTTGATTCGCACATAATTTCTTTTCCTCATGAAGCGAAATTGTTCCGGTGGAAGAGTTTTGCATCCGAAACATCTCTTAGTACTATGCGCTAAACGTGATGGTGCGTTGGTGGCACAGCGGTAGGATGCTCGTCAACCACATATGTGGTCTGGGGTTAGATCCCCGGCCTCTGACACACTCCCCAACCTCGTTAAGCCAGTAATAAGACCGGTAAAGAGCGAAGGTTGGGCATGAGACTGGCTACCAACTCCACCCAGTAAAAATAAACACCATTGCTACCGAAACTTAAAGCCTCTAGCTTGAAAGTGCTCTATGTTCCATTGGGAACGTAAAAGTATAAAAAAACTAAACATGATCCTTAAAAATCGTCCCCTTAACTTTAAATTCATTTATCTTTAATTTATTATGCCTAATTTATTTTGTTAAATAACGATTTTCACAATATGAACTAAATTGTTATATATATATATACGTTTTTACACGTACGCATATAGCCTTGGAATTTGTGCATCTGTGTATACATTTTCCCGTTTGTAAGTTTCATTCTCTTTGTAATTCCCAATTGGTTGCCTGTTAGAGCCCATTGAGTCACCCATTTAAACACGTTCACATTAACCTGCGTTAATTTTATACACACATCGGGTTTAAGTTAAACTTTAAGCACCAGTTAGTACCAATGGAGTACGACTGCACCAATGACCTTGAAATGCTCAGTGTATAAGTTAATAAAATCTGGTAAAAAATATTGTCGAGTATTGGTTTTGTGGGGACAATGTTTGATTGGTTGGAAGATTTCATCATGAGATGACATCAGGTAGAGAACCATTGAAAAACCTGTAGGGAGTACTGGACAGCCAGCTGTTTCGTCAGCCTAGTTTGGGACTCTTCATCAGTAAGCATCCACCACAGGGGTTCGAATTTAGGATCTTCTTGTTACAAGGCTAACGAGCTCGTAGAACATTCATTCAGCCAATGGCACCCGATCTATTGGTCCATGAATTCTAACTTCCGCCGATTTAATGACTTGGTGTGACCCCTTCGCTGTGTCTTCTCCCAGTTTTTCCAATGGTTCTCTAACTGATGTCAGCTCATGATGGAATAATATTGTAATCATGAGTAAAATATGCCTGATAAAGTTTTTTACTATAAAATGGGATATTTGGCAAGTGTCAGATTAGGTTTTAGAAAGGTTAAGTTAAGGCTTCGGCTAAGGATGGGTGAGGGTTTGGTGATAACCCGAAGGGGACGACAATAGGGTTCATTCGAGTTAAATTAGGGTTAGTTTGGGGATATTTGCACGTTAGTGTTAGGTTAGAGAAAGATTAGGGTTAGGGCTACAGGACTGGACTACATTAACTCCTAGTTTAGAAATAGGAAGTGAAGTGGTAGAGCGTGTTGACTACTTCACTTATTCGGGAAGTTGCTTCAGCCAACGCCAACGGGTTGATAGCTGACGAAATCTCAGCACAGATATAGAAGGCTAGTCTTGCATATGCTAATTTACGCCGTCTCCGACGCAGACGTTATATCCGGCCGTCGATCAAAGAGCGTGTGTACCTCTCAGCAGTTGGCTCCGTCCTCCTTTATGGCTGTGAGCGTGACGTAGCCATTGAAAGTGGAAGACAGGAAAGGTTAGCCAGCTAACTGTTTTTGATCATAGGTGTCTGCGTTCTATCTCCCATGTTAGATGGTATAATAGGGTAAGGAATATTGACGTTAGGCGTCGACTGCTAGGTAATGATTGGAAATAAATCGACGAGATTTTGAAGTTACAGCGATCAAGATAGATGGTCAGGACATATGTTACGCATGGCTAGCCTGGTCATCACCTTCCTCGACTGCCAATGTTAGCTGCCGGCATAAGATGGATGAGGTTGTTGGAAAAGAGCTAGTGGTTGGTGGTCAAACCAAAACATGGATTCATCAGTCAATGAAATCCACAACAGTTAGTTTAAGCTAGCCATTCATGTAAGGAGGTGTAGACTTCCTGGTTGTGGTCCTTGGGACGGTAAAAACCAATAGAGGCTACAGACAATTGGTGCTATGGCTCAAAATCGTTCTCGATGATGGCGCAGATGCATCCACTCCTTGTGAATTATAATGTCCCATAAACTCCTATTGTTCTTCGATATTACTATTCTTTTTGTCTCATTTCTCTGTTTACCGTCTCTATTTTGCATTTCTTTTTACTTTCTTCTCTTGCTTTGTGTGCTGAATTGAGGAAGTGTGGCGACTTGAACTGCTGCACTTCGGTAAACAGTTCTACGTTAAAACCAGTTAGTCAGTCAGTCAGTTAGTGTTAGGAGACCTAGATAATTGAATGCATAGAATGTAATTAAATTACTGTGTTGATACTCCAGTTCAAACCTGGGAGGTATTTTTATCACACATCAGGGAAAGGTATCCTGTGTAACAAACAATTAGTTTCATGACTTTTAAATTCTTTATTATTTTCATGAATATCTATATACGTATTTTTTTGCGTAAAAATAGTCTTTGTCATGTGGTTGGTGCGTTCAAGGTCATTTATCCGTTGTTACTTTACTGGTGGTTAAAGTTTAACTTTGCCACATATTGGATAAATTAGATTTAAAGTGTATCATCACGTGATACATCATAATGGTTAACATAATATGGGATATAAAATGGACTTTATGTTTCACGAAATAATACTTATATAACCACGCATAAGGAGATTCTGATTAATTACCGCTTAATTTGTGAAGTGCCTAACATTAGCTGTTGGCACTGACGAAATTTCAGCATGGATACAGAAGGCTCATGTGGTATTTCCCAACTTACGCTATCTGTCGCTTAGTAGACGTAACGTCCGGATGGCTATTGAACAAAGAATGTGTGTACTCCCCAACAGTTTGCTCACTCCTCCACCTTTTTGGCTGTAAGTGAGACATGGTCATTGAAGGCGGAAGACTGGAAAGGCCTGGCTAAGTAGCTGTCTTTGATCATAGGTATCTGTGTTCTGTCTCCCGTCTTAAGTGGCATGGTACAATAGGGTGAATAATACTGAGGTTGGACATCGGTGGAGTGCTAGGTAGGTAGGAGGGGAGGGAAAATCAGTCGACGAGGTTGTGAAGTTACATCGATTGAGAAAGATGGTTAGGACATATGCTGCGCATGCTTTGCCAAGCCTAGCCATTGATCGCCTTCCTCGAAAATGGCCAATGTTAGCTGCCGACATAGGATTAATCAGGTTGTTAGAAAAGAGCTAGTGGTTAGTGGTCAAACCAAAACATCGCTTCATCAGTCAATGAAATCCATAACTGAACTCTATGCAAGTATGTTAAAATTGTTGTTGTAGATATATTTAATAATGTCTTTGCTATGTAAGCAGCTGACGAGAAGGCAACGAAATAAAAGATGGTACCATTTTATTCTGCTAAAACTGTAGTTCTTGCTTTGTTCAAATTCATTAAGGAGAATAATTGTATGAAATCCATAACAGTTAGTTAGTTTAAGCTAGCCAGCCGTGCACATAGGGAGGAGGTGTAGACTTTCTAACTGGTTTGTTTCGTCGGGATGGTAAGATCCAATAACGCCTGGAGACAATTGGTGTTATGGCTGAAAGTCGTTTTCAATGGCTGGCGGAGATGAATTCACTCTTTGTGATTTGTCATATCATCCAATAAAACTCTATTGTTCGTCGATATTACTAAGCCCTCTTTCTTCCCTCTGTCCTTTGAACCGCGCTGTACTCTAATCTCTTGCTATGTGTGGTACGTGGAGGAAGTGTGGCAAGTCGAACTGCTGCACATATGCACAAAGTTTTATGTTGAAATCAGTCGGTCGGTCAGTCAGTTTGGAGTGAAATGGTAATGTCATCCAATACCGCAAATTCAGTCTTTTTTGCTTTGAAGGAAAATAAAAGACAAATTCAGCGGAGAAAATCTTCTCTACCGACGAAATCATCTTCAGAGGCTGGCTGTACAGTCGTATTTATATTTACCAAAAATGTGTGGTAGTCCATTACTGAGTAATGGGGTTCATGTGTGTGACATAATTGATATAATTACTCAGAAGTGGCTTTAGAAGTAAAAATAAAAGTTGTAAATTACGTAGTACTCAACTGTACAAAGGAAAAAAAGCGTTAGAAATATGATAAAGTTAAAATTGTTATTGAGTGAGAATAAAGGTGGTAGTTGTGTGTCAATTTAACAAGTGTGTAGAGGGTGTGAAAATGTACAATAAGAGCATATGAGATTGGTAATAGTGAATTAATTATTAAAGCAAAAGTAAACTAAAAGTGAAATTATCGAAATTAACCTTTTCTTTGCTTACATCATAAATCGCATCATGTATGTTTTGATTCTCTCAATTATTATTTTTACTTACAAAAATGTATTTTTGTTCTCCATTAGGACATAATGCTGGACGTGCTATCAATAATGGAGCTGTTTCACTACTGCTAGATCTATTTCTCGATGTACATCGATGTGATTTAAATTGGCGCCGAATCGAACTACAGAAAAGTTTATTGGCATGTCTTCGATGTTTAACAGTACTACGTAATTTTTTGATTTTGTAAATAATTGTCTTTTATATTCATATATATATATATATATATATATATATATTCATACATGTTTATTTATTCGAAGTCGCTCACTTATTTAGAGAAATAAATGTTGATTTATCGGTTTACACCATCAAAGCCTATGTGACAGAAGGTTGAATTATGCATTATCTAAAATTCATTATATCTTGGAGAAGATTTTTAGCTCAGGTGGATGATTTTGATGTAGTTGTGTTCTCTGAGCTAGCTGGATGGTTTATACTTGCCAAGCTTTCATTGCCCTACTAGGCAACATCTTCAACGCATACACACTTCAATTTGAAGTGAGCTTTTAGATTTCTCTGTGAGTTTATTTGTTACCTCCCCTGTTCACCTTGAACGTGATCGATTGTATTAGTTAGTATTGGTGCTATTTGTTTCCTTGACCTGAAGTTCGACCCTTTGGGTATGAGATTTCCTTCTTATCAACTGGTAAATTTTGTCAATGTCAATGTGTCTATTAATTGCTGATTCATTGGAATACCAGACAGGCTTCTAAAAATTCTCCAGCATTCTTGGTGTTTCCTCTGTCTACTATTTGAACTTTGGTTGTACTAGTCGCATTGATTTCCGTGGTTGTCTGTATGCAGTGAGAGATATGAGTGGGGAGTGGATATAATGTCTTTTGATAGCTAGTTCATGATCATGGACGCGAACACTTGGTAATCGTATCGTTTGATTACACTAATAAGACACACACACATTAGTGAGTTCAGCTCACTAAGCAAGTTTCTAGTTTGATGAAGTTTAACCCTCTTGAGTTGCCATATTGACGTACAAGCTAACACTTTTTATTAAATTTTTCTGCTTTCTGTCTACTCTCACCCACCCATCCCTGTTTTTTCATAGTTTGATAGTATATAAATTGATGGTAGCTTATACTTTGATAAAGCTATTAGCATTAAATAGTGAAACGTCAGTAAAAACAACATCGTTTAGTTTTTCATTCGTTGGGAAATATAAAAACCTTTATTATAATGATGGTAACTTAAACTAAAAGAAATTGTAATGCTTATATTCTGTATACGTTTATCTTATAATTTTCTCTCTATTACTTTTCAAACATTGAAGTATGAAGTGTCATTAAAATTACAACCATTGTAATTTCAAGTAGTACTCAGCTGATGAGAACCTGTGAAATAGAATGATGACATCAGTTTACACGACAAATCTAGTCTTTCTTTCCCTTTTGATATTTTTTTTATTATTACCACTTAATAGAAGGATGAGTATATATGATTTATAGCAAAACAAACTTGCCTAATTTTCCCCGGCTACCACGATACCTAGAATGGAGGCGGTTAATTACGATTAGAATGTTCTCAGATAGTATCTGGTCTTCTATGATTTTGTTATAAGTACTTAGAAGAACACTGTAATTATTATCATCATCGGATGTTGCGTCCTTTTAGCTGTTTTAAAGACGTATATTTATCGATCTGTTTTATTTTACACAGCTGGGGTGTGTCTTTTGTCATGTTTGCTATAGTATGTGCGAAAAAATCATTAGGATTACATTTATTCCCACTTGGATACAGGCTTTGTTTCATTTTGTTCACATTCCAACTGTGATTAGATCATTTTCCATACCTGTTCCGTGATAATCTCTATTTATGCCTTCCCTATAGACTTTCTAGAACATGATTAGTGATAACTGACTGAATATTATGAATTTGTTAGCCTTTTCCCCGGCTTGGAACTGGCTAGAAATCTAGCTAGCCAGTGGGTTTGGAAATCTTCTGCACTCAGCAAGCATAAAGAACAAGAATCGGATTCTGTTTAACAAAAATGTTAAGTCAGTTCCCTCTCCTATGTAGGTCAAATGCTTTAGGTGTCACGAAAAGGATTTCCATCAGGCTACTGCAGACTGTTCTCAACAGCTGCCCACTTCACTGGCTTCATGTTGAAGATCAAATGCCCGGAAAGGATTTATTATTATTGTTCCCTTGAGTTCCTAGTGGAATATAAGGTTTCAGCTGCACGTCTCCACTTGCTCCTGTCTTGCTTCTGCTGTAATTTTCACCTGCATTCATGTTAGTCCGCTCATACTGTTTCAACTCCTCTTCACACAATCTCCTCCATGTCACCCTTGCACTGACGTCCGACTCGCCGCTTCCCTTTCGGGTTCCACTGGAGCAACGGCCTGATGCGCCATATTACCCATCGGCCACCTCGGCGAGTGTCCTCAACCCATCTCCACTATCTCCTGCATATTTGCTGGGCGATTGGTTCTTGTTTTGTTTGTTCCCATAGTTTCTTGTTAGTGATTCTTTCCGGCCATCTAATTGATCTTCAGTATAGAGCCAGTGAAGACAGTTGTTGATAAAGGTCTGCAACAGGCTGTTGGAAATATTCTTTGTGACGCGCTCGCCAAGTTTCTGATCCTTATAGGAGAACTAACTGACTTCACGTTGTTTGTATTGAAAATCCGACCGAATTTTGTTGTTGATGCTGGCTGAGTGACGAAGATTTCCAGATTGCTTTCAGGTTGATGAATATGTTTCTCGCCTTCCCGATTATCGCTTGATTTGACATCCTCGTCCGTTCCGATTGCCTGTAGTTGAGACAATGCTCTCTAGATGATAAGTGAATGAAGTAACCTCTTTCAACTCCCTCCTGTTGATGGTGATTGGTGCTTGATGTTGGTGCTGTTGTTGTTGTTGTTGGCTGGTTATTTTCATAACCTCCGTCTTGTCTATGCTCACCTGGAGTCCTGTCTTCGCCGGCTGCTTCTTCGACCAGTTTGTCAGTTTTCGCTTGTTCGTTTATTGCAAAATAAAACTAAATTTATGCCAGTGTGTTTAATGATGAGGACTAAAAATAGTTCAGGAATACACACGCACATCGACATATATATGTAGGTATATTTGAAGTTATTTGTAGCTAGGTAGTGGGATCCATGACTTGCGTTTCACCTGATTTACGACTCCTCATCTGGATATGCACCTGTCCCCGTCCTCGTTGAGTGCTGACCTTCCTAGTAAGATTTAAACCATGCACTCAACTCCAAATATACTTAGGCCGCATACTAGTAACTGGTGACCGATGAAAACTATCCAATACAGTCCTACAAAAAGTCGATCGCAAGCCTGAATAGCTAGCTCAGTAGTAACGTCTGGCTGCAGCGCTGGCTGGTGACACGGGTTTGAATCTCAGACGGCACATGAGTTCCTTTGAGGTTGCAGATACACCTTGCTGATGATTGCCAACTAGCACGAAACCTAGGTGCCATGCAAGGCTTCCTGTGGATGATTGCCTCCAACCATCTAATAACTCCAAATATATATATAAACAGCATACATGTTTTCAGGTGTTTAATATATTTATATTCTACGCGCAAACATTTCCCACTGTCTGACGCATAATCCAGAGAGGACTCCAGGTGAACATGGAGAAAACAGAGGTGATGAAGATACCTGACTTAACCAATAACAATAAGCACCAGTCCCCAGCATCGGGTAGAGTGTGGATGAAGTCACTTCTTTCACCTATCCAGATAACATTTGTTCCAACTAGAGATGGTGGCACAGGTGAGGACATCAAAACCAGGGAGAATCAGAAAAGCCAGACAGAACATCTATTACTCTGAAATCACTCCGAAAATCTACTACACTCAATCATCGTAAAAAACTGGATTCGAAGTTTTAACCCTAATATCAAGCAATTAATTCTATATGGTTCACAGGTTTTGAGCGTACGTTGCTGAAGGCATTTCCAGCAGGCCACTGCCTTCGCTCTTCCTACAGAAGATCAAATCACCCATCAGAAGGATTCCTAATAAGTAACTCTGTCAAAGAAGTGACCAAGTGCCTATTGCCCTAAAAATCTATCTAAGGAAATGAACACCTGCTGAGGATACCATTGAGTGAATTAGATTTTGTGGGGATTTAGATTCATTCTAATGTAGACTTCATCATGAACCATAATCAGTCATAAATCAGTGAAAAAATGAGGAGCACTGGACAGCTGTTTCATCCTAGTTTGGGGCATTTCAATGATGCACACCCACCAGGTATCGAATCCCGGACCTTCAGGTTACATGACCCAGTTAGTCCAACATTCATCCATATGGACCAGAGTTTAATTGCCTGTTATGTTGTTTCATGACGCATCCCTAGAAAATCCTAAAGCGTAAATATCAATCTTCAGCCTACACGGATCTCTACTAGATGGATGTCTTGAAGCTATACTGAAAAATGGTGACCAGTGTAGTCCAGAATGTCAAGGTGAAGTGGATGCTCATTCAAGGCATTATTTAATTGTAGGACTTTGTCACCAATCGAAAAACGTCAGAATTCATGGGTCATTGGACTCCCACCTAAGCGGCTGAGTAGTTAATCAAGCTAGGTCCTGAGCTCGAGCCCTGGAAATTTTCAAACTAGCACAGAAAAAATAGCTGTGTCCACTACTCCCTGGTTTCCACTTATCTCTAACTTATTCTTAAACTTTAAAACTACCACATGTATTTCGTAATTACTAAGCAACAAAGCTGTGTAAAAATAGTTTTAAAATATCACCTTAATTAAAGTCTAGTTTTGATTAATGTTCACGACACTGAAAGGTGATGACGCAATCACTAGAAGTGAAAATATAATAGCAGAAAGAATGAAATAAGTTTTGAAATTTTACAGAATCACAGTTTCAAGGAAGTTGATAAGATATTTTGTTAAAACGGACATTAACTTTTCAAGACATCCGTTGATAAATAAATTACTTTGTGAACTGAATAATCTGATTGGACAATTCCATCATTTAATCAGCCAATCAAATTAAACCACTACATTTTTTGACTTTATGTTATGTGAAAAAAGTTTCAAATACGAGATATGCCTTTTTTTTGTACTTCTGATATTTTCCCGCTTTAATAAATCATAAGGTATACATTCATTCACGCAATCGTTAGAACGTTATTTAATGATATTGTCTTATTGGATTCAATGATGTTTGGTCATTTTCGCGCTAATCAAAAATTTCAGTTCGTTGAACTAAAGTTCAACTTTCCCAACTGAAATTGACCAGTACTTCCAGTTGAATAACCGTGAAATAAATCTATGTCGGAAAGAAAAACAAAAGAAAAGCACACACACAACCATTTTAGTAGAAAATATCACCGTTCAGTTGTTCCTTTCTTCTTATAGTAGCAATATTTCAACACAGAGTTCAGCTGTGAAACCTTTATTTATTCCTTCACGTTCTCAGTGAAACTTAGTGCTTCAAGCTAGAGGCTTGAAGTTTCTGTGGCAGTATTTATTTATTTAGAATCAACCTTATGTTTCGCTATAGATGACGTTGGACATCTATTTCCAGGACCAATTGTATCTTATGATTTTATTTATTGTCGCAGCTACATTGGAATATGTTCTATAGCCCTAACCTTCAGAGACTGATGGGTCCTCCCTATGTACATGTATCCACATATTTATGTAAATTGGTAAACGCAATGGGATACGATACTATCGTTTGGATACTGTGAGGGTTTACAATAGGATAGCGTAAATCTCGTTTTCTCTATGAAGATAAGTTTGGCTGCATAGTAATTTCTGTTAATTGCTTCCTTGAGTCTTTGTTTAGTGACCAGACTTTGTTGGTCACCCATGAATGGCAAGGATATATAAACATCCTTTTTGGGAGCTGGCTGGATCGGTAGAGCTTAATGAATTGCAACGCGTAGTTTTTATCTAATAATATTTTAGTTAGGTGTTGTGTTTCTTCTTCAGTGATGTCAACTGTACATATATGGTGAATGCGTATGAACAAACACTTGACCAACGCCTTTTTATACTTTAGTGAACAGAAACTATGATAATTTAAATGTTGTCCCGTCCATGTGAATTTTCTATCTACAGATCGTTTTATTGACCAATCTTGTCGGCGGCAAGTTAAGAGTACATCTAAAAATGGCAAGCAATTACTCTATTCTCTTTCACGTATGTTAGCCATATACTATTTTGTATTGTACTGATCTGTTTAAGGATTTCTATAGAATCTGTTGATTTCTCACAAATAACTATTATGTCATCCACATTTCTCTTATAAAAATAAACTTTTCCAACTACGTCTTCAGCTAGGTTTTCAACATGCGACATGTATATATTAGCTAACAATAGAACTAGGGTGCTTTCCATATCAACATTATCGATCTTTCGCGGTAATGCTCGGCCTTCCTTCTTTCTTCTTTTCCTACCCAAACCCTTATTCCAGCTTTTTAAATCTCATTTGTGACCTTGACCTGTATTGTAATAAGTCATGTTATCTAGCCTTCTATATAAATGTGTATGACAAGTGCTCGTGTGTGTGTGTGTGTGATCAGAATATTGGAAATATGTTGCACAAATACATTACACGTTGCAGATAAACCACATCTTATTGTTTTGTCAAAATTTTTCTGTTTCTGATTTCATTGTGTTCCTAGTGAAATATAGGGCTTTGCACTTTTTGGACTTTCAGTAGAGATGGTTTTATTTTTACTAGGTGTGGAGTTACTAGTCTCATGACTAGCTTCCTGTCTTCTCCGGAATTATTACGTGTCAGCTAGTAAACTAGTAGAGGTTTAGGAATGTATTGGTGGAGAATTGAACTTGGGCAACGTAGGTGTGGTTGAATTATCGACGCACATTCACATTTTTAATAATAATAATAATAATAATAATAATGATTTGCTTTATTCCAAAAACAGTACTTGTGATACAGAATGGAATTTTCAGCATTAATCACAATATTGCATCTAATTTCCTCAAATTATAAATAAAATTAATCACACAGAAAATTTTCCACATTTACAATAGAGGTAGTGTCAAAATCATGCAGCATATAAAATGGAAATAGCAATAATAATGATAACAGCTAGGGTAATAATAATAAGAATACAAGTGAAAATTGCCGTTGGCTTGTGTCACACAGTATTGGCAATGTGGTATAGAAATCCTAACATGTTTAAAAATATTGAATATAATGTTCTCTTTACATGATATGGTGAAGGGAAAAACAAAGATTACAGCCGTCATGGAGATAAGTTGGTGTTTGCAATTATGAGAGTAAAACAGAGAAGTAACAGGACCATAAATATAATAGAAGTAATAAAAGTAAAACTTGAAGGTATATAAGGATGGATGGAGGAAATTGTTTATTTACTAGATGAAAAAAGGTTAGTTAATTCTTGCCTGACACTATTTTCACCATCACATAAAATACGTGCCAAGTATGGTATCATAGAATTTTTATACTTAGACGTGCGAGCATACAGTTTTCTGAAGTTACTCCTTGTTCTACCTGAGGAGATGCAAGGTGAAAGCTGAGGGTAAAGCGGATGCTCCAAGTCAGACAAAATCCCTCTAGCAAATTTATTGCATGAAGTCAAGTGCCTATCGACAACGACGTTAACTATGTGGTCCACTGGGACACCACTCACCCTACTGACAGTCTTCAGTATTCTACGAATTGTGACATAGTCCTTTTTAAGCAAACCAGGAAAGAACAAGGGTGAGCAATAAAGAAGAATAGGTAGGATGCAAGAGTTGACAAACTGTAAGAGGAGGGGTTGAGTTATACCCGAGTGTCTTAACTTCTTAATGTAAAATGTCAGGCGGAATATTTTACTGGAGATTGCTAAGACATGGGAAGACCAGGAGAGATCAGAAGAGAGAATGAGTCCAAGATACTTAATTTCTGATTTGATTCCTATATCATTGTCGTCAATTTTACAACTGTCATGAGAATCGATGACTTCTTTTAACTGTCGTTTACATCTTAAGCTGAAATCAACAGTTTGACACTTAGAAGGATTCAGTTTAAGACCGTTAGACTCAGACCATTTACTGACTCCCAACAGAAAACTATTTATTTTAGTACAATCTAGCTGGGAGTTAACAGCCATTGAAACCGTTAAATCATCAGCATACTTCACAAAGTTTATTTCATCAGAGTGAGGCAAGTCATGCAAGAAGAAAGAAAAAAGAAAATGAGAAAGAACAGCGCCTTTTAAGTGATTCGTTTATTACTATTGTTATTATTCGAATTCTCCATCTGTAACTCTTTAATCGGAGGTAATTAAATCTACAATAAAATATCGTTTGTGAGAAAAATTGAAAAAATGTGACTAATAATGTCCTAATTATTACAGTGAATAGCGAGTACCGGAACCGTTGATTAGCTATCTCATGTATATGACATATACTGCTTTCTATGGAATTCTAATTAACAAAAAGCACTGACTAAGCTTCTTGTCACACTGATATATAAATTCTGGGTTTTATTTTTGCTTAAACTTGGATTAAAATTTGCTGTCATCTCCAAGAGTGCATCTTCCTCTTGTCCAATCTTTCTTTTGCTTTGTTTATCATAAATTATTATTATTATATTTGCTATTTATACTTTTCGGACTTATTATGAGGGATAATATGTCTTTTCTCGATATATACCTCTACCTGTTTTCTTTCGCATATTGATTGTTTTAGTGTAAGATCAGTCAGTGTAATTGCAAATAATAATGCTAACAATAGTGTGAAGTAAACTAGATGAGAAAGAATAAGACGGGCATAATTAGACATGAGAACATGAGATAACTAATATCGCTGATGACCAGATTCATTCTTATTTATCTCTATAACTTCAGTTTTGGTTATATGACGTAATTGTTTGCCTTTAGACAAATTGTTTGGTATTCAATACACAAGCGTAAACAATTCATCTATTCTGATGCAGTGTTCATTGTAAAGTAGATGAGATAAAGTGACACTATTGATTGATTTGGTTACTTTTTTACAAGCCAAATAAGGACATGTTCAGAAGTGTGTAAGGCGTAAATTCCTTTGAGTAAGGTCCACATAACTAGTCCTAAAGTAGTAGTTAAATTTGTATATATATTTATACTGATGTGTCCATCACTGGTAATTTATCTTTAGTGAACTGAGTTAGCATCGGTTTGGTTGAGTAACAGAAGAATATTTCTCCAAAGCTGTCCAAGGTTTTCAAGTTTTGGTTTTCAGGAATTTGGTTGATTTCAGGACTTCATCATGAATGGATATCGGTCAGAGGACCATTGTAGTCGCACAGGGTCCCAATGACTTAATAGTCTGCTAGCTCGCCCTGTGACCAGAAAGTTCTGGTTTGGAACCCTAGCGGTGGGTGGATGCGAAGTGCTGAAGAGTTCCAAAGTAGGATGGAACAGCTAGCTGTTCAGTACTCACAGGCTTTCCAATGGTCTTCTAACCGATGTCTATTCATAACGAAATCCTGAAACTATTCAAAGTTATTTGGTTGGTTGTTATCTCGAGTGCCTAATTCTAAACAGAGGACTTCAATGAATTCATTCTTTTGTTTTCCTTGTCTCTCTCTGTGTGTTATTATTCAAGGTTCTGGACGTAAAGCTGTTATCGCCTCCGGTGGTCTGCATGCTTTATTCGCTGTCTGTGTTGGTTATGTAGGACCTGATCCACTTGGACGTAATAATAACCTATTGTTAGAAATTCATCCACAACAAACCAATGAGAAGACTTCACGTGGCTATCGAAAATTCAATCGTAAGGAAGTGTCGGATGGCAATGTTAATCTACGTGTTAGTAAGCCGCATAATTCTACAACACCTACAAATAATAAATCACGTCAAAAGCGTACACATAACAATTTAGAAAAGACAGACTCAACTGTTCCAGGGAATCGTAGTACATCTTCTTCTGTTTTTACTAATACTACCACTGTTGTTCAACAACGAGATTCTCATCATGTAGACGATAATAATGGTACAGGGCTAGTTAAAGAGAAGGATATTGATAGCGTGGAGAAAAGAAGTGGTAATAGTAGTACTAGTAATCCTGGTATGCACGAAAGTAATTCTAAGGATATTGGCAGTACCACCACTATTACTACTACCACTACTAATACAGTGTTGCAAGGTGACGTGCGCGTTGACGCCGGGGAACAGAAGGAAATCTATTATAGTAAAAAACTATCTGATCCAGTTATTGTATTAATACAAACATGTATGCTGCTGCGTCGTTGTTTTCCAAGAAGTCGTTTACCAGTTCCTAGTGCTGAAGGTATCCTTCGATGTCCATTACCTAAAGGTAAGTTGGAGGATAATTTCCATAAATTATAGATTTTTTAAAATTTTTCTTTTTGTGGTCATCAGTTTTGTAAAATGATGTCATAGAAGTTATCTCGAAGCCCCTCACCATAAACGACATGTTTATAGCCGAGGTTAGTTAGACTTTGACTTTCCTGTCGAATTGGCCTGAAGTAACCACGCGTTCATAGCCTCTGTCAGGTAAGTCCTCTTCACAAAAAGCGAGATAGTGAATGAGAAAGTATGGCACCTACAGCGAAACTTGTGGACGTGTAGATCTACTTAGTGGAGCTAGGAAACCTAGATTTCAAACCTATGGTGGTGTACATAGGCTCTTGAACCCCAAAGGATCAAATGGTGTATGAGCTTAATTTGATCACTGGGTACCATTGGAGCGTACCTACTGATGTTGCTCTGAGTAGCTTAAAAATTCCCATTGAGACATATGAAAAAGAAAAGATGTTCAGCGGAGAGACTCTTTTCGGTGAATTCATTCACATAGCTGTACAATCGCATTTATATATAATTATTTGCGTGTGTGTGTGTACATGAGGTTTGTCAAGTTTGAATAATTGATCAGGAAATACAAGAATGATCTAATATAGAAACAAAGTTAATTAGAAAGCAACTAAAGTAAGATTGAGTTAGTAAGTTAGATGACGTAATATAACTGACTAAAATGTTCCAACTTTGGTCAGGGTAGCTACAGAGGGGTAGTTACTCTTTTCGGAAGACTTCTTTTCACTTTGTAGATGACTTTGAGTGAATTATCTTTATATATATATAAAGTTATTTTTATTCCTCCTCAGGGTTTCTAGTGGAAAATTGTGCTTTAGAAGCACATCTGCACTTCACCCTTTTTCCCTGAGGTCTTTTTCTCGGCTGACCACACAACTTTATACAATCTTGCATTTCATCCTCACATAATCCATTCTATGTTACATTGGGACGGCTAACAACTCACCTCCCATTCGTATTCCACTGGAGAACCGACCACAGGCCGTCACTTGAAAGTTGTCTATCTTCAATCCATCTCCAATTCCTTCTACACATTTTTTTTGATTTACAGCTTGATTCCACACTGTATTTTTGGTACAAGTATGGAATTTTCAGCATGGATATCGGTAGCCCAAATTTTGCAGGCCGACCATAGATATCAGATGTGCGTCGGTGCGGGCTCGAACCCCGGACCATGTGCATGGTCGGCGAGAGTCCTAACCACTGTGCCACCGACGCACACATTTGTTGGGCCGTATTTTCTTGGCCGGTTTGGTGACGAGTTTCCTTGTTGTTTCCTCCTTTCTGGACGACTATTTGCTCTAGTGCCTTATCTGGGCTTTAAAGCTAGGTATTAAGTAACCTAGGCGATTATCAGTCCCATATAAATGTCTATATATATGTCGAAACTCATTGGGTTTTTAGTTGGGATACAGTTGATTTGATAGTCGACATCACTTAAAAAATTCTACAAGGTTGTAGATAAATTTTGTTTTAATTTTTAATTACAACTTTGTATATGATTGAATATTGACATTATTAATAAAGGTCAAATAAGGTTACATATAAGAAAACAGATGGTGAAAGGTGTTTGGTTTCTATGTGTACGTATTAGTATGGCACAAAGACACATATATATGGGCACAAAATTAGTATTAATTTGATTGACATGAGAAGGTGTAACAGTTCAAAACTCTAAGAAGTGTCATTTGATGCATAGAACTGCATAGAAATAATACGTTCATCTTAAAACAAGTCAAATTTGTTAGTAACAGCATTAGTGTTGCCTCCTTGCTTTCTTTTAAATAAAAAAGTTTAGATTTGCATTTTCTGTTGATTACAAAATAATTTAAAATTGTAATTACTTATTACACAAGAAGAGATGGTTGTCGTGGCTCTCGTGGTAGGTCTAATGGGGATAATGCTTTAACGTCTCAAACAAAAGATGCTAGATTCCAGTCTTTATCATCACTCACTTAGGAATGCAGGTAGATCCAGATGACGAGTCCCAAGAGGGACGAAATGAACATCTTAGATTCAACTGCTAGTCATCACTAACCAAAAGAAACAGTTTAGAGTATGAGAATCGACTTCTGACGGGTTTTTGTTCTTTTGAGAATACTAAGTCTGTCAGTTTATCGCGAAATACGCCATGTTGTCACTCAATCACACGGGACTGACTTTTTTGAAGAGTTTTGTAAGGATTAGATTTGTTTTTCGAGGTTGATCATGGATTGATATCAGTTAGAGAACCACTGCTTAACCAAGAAGTACTAGTCTAGTACTAGTTTGGAACTCATTGACAGTACGCACCCACTGGGTTTCAAACCCAGGATCTCCTGGTTACAAGGCGACCTCGTATACCATTCAGCTACTGGGACCCGATTCAATGGCCAGCCCATGAGTTCTAACTTCTACCAATTCATGATTTTTGCGTGACTGGCACCAACCAATGTCACCGGTGTGAAACCCATGCTCACTCCCTACTGGATGAACCTCACTGGTCACGACTTCTCACTAGAACTCCAGGAAACTCTATCCTGTAGCAAGTCACTAGCGAGCATCAGATTAATTTTCAAGAGTTGGTTCATAAGGATTAGATTTATTTTTCGTCGAGTTCGACCACGGATTGATATAAGTTAGAGAACCATTGAAGTGGAGTACTGGGCAGCTGTTTCATCAGCCTAGTTTGGAAATCATCGGCAGTAGGTACCCATATATATATATCAACAGACTACAGCCACACTTACTTTGTGTTGAAACCTGATGAAAACTAAAAAGTCACCCAGGCTGAAGTAGGTGGGTTAGAATTTGAACCCATGACCCTTCGGCTGAAAGTCGACTGTTTAAGCTAACAGTGAGAAAGTGTAATCAGAATATGATAATCCATAAAGATTAACTGAATGATTAACCTGAAGGAGAGTTTTGATAATCCGATTCTCAGTTTACAAATTACACAGTTCAAAATGGTGAAATTTCCCTACAGTTTCCTTTGGAAACCAGAACTGTTCAAATCACAAAATGGGATCTGTTTGGTACCACAAATAGCAATCAAAAAAAAAAGAAAAAAAACAAGCATCAACACACAATGGGATGTATTACTGATTATCCAAGCATTGTTTTGTAGGGAATTGATTGATTGGTTACAGGATTTCATCATGAGCTGACATCGGTTAGAGAACGATTGGAAAACCACCAGAGAGTGAGTACTGGACAGCCAGCTGTTTCATCAGCCTAGTTTAGGACTCTTCATCAGTACTCACCCACCAAAGGGAGCACGAACCCAGGAACTCCTGGTTACAAGACTAATAATAATAATAATAATAATAATCTGCTTTATTCCAAAACAGACAGTGTAACAACACAAGACAAGGGCCAGGCAACAGATCGTTTTATTATGAAAATCAACACGTATTTGTACATATTTCACATACATTATTATAGCTTATGCAAGTAGACAAGCGCAGTCATCTGATTGGTTGTTTATCAGAAGTTAGGCAGACAAACGCAGGCTTCTGATTGGTTGTTTCGGGATTCCTCGACAAATAGAGTTCTCTATCTGCGAATCATATTTTGCCACGTTAACTTTGCTGTGATTGGTTGTTGAATCAGCCTTGCTCATATTTTCTCACGGCCTGCTCTCACCACAACAGTACTTATAATACAGAATGGAATTCTCAGTATTTGTCACAAGACCTTGCATCTGATTTACTTAAAATATAAATAAAATTAAAACAAAAGTAACCAGAGGAAGTTGTCCACATTTATGATATAAAGTCAAAAATATTCGAAGCACGAACTGAGGGTATTAAATATAATAAAAATAATAATAACAGTGAGTTTGTTTCAAACAGTAGTGGCGATTCAGTTTGGAAATTTTAGCATGTTATTATATAGTATTGAATCTAATGTTCTATCGATAAAGTATAGTGAGGGGAAATACAAAATTAACAGTTATATAACACAGCTTAAATTATGTTCACACTTATGAAAAAATAAACAAATAAAAACAAAAAATTGAGAGATTATAAATATAAGAAATACAATAACAATAAAGGTTGATGTTGTAAAGGTGGAGGAAATGATTTATTTAGTAGTGCAAAGAAGGTTAGTTAGTTCATGCCTGACAACATTTTCATCACATAAAGTATGTGTTAAATATGGTAGTGTGGAATTTTTATACTTAGACGCACGTGCATAAATTCTTCTGAAAAGACTTCTTGTTTTACCTGAGGAGACAAGGTTGGAGCTGCGGGTAGAGTGGATGCTAAGAGTCTGACAAAATTCCCTTAGCAAATTTGTCGCATGACATCAAGTGCCTGTCAATGACGATGTCAATGATTAGGCCCAATGGGATACCACCATTCGCCCTACTGACAGTCAGTCTTCAGAGTTCTACGAAGTATGACATAGTCTTTTTTAAGCAATCGAGGAAAGAATAAAAGTGATCAGTAAAGAAGAATGAGTAAAATGAACGAGTTGTCATACTGTAAGAGGAGCGGTTGGGTTATACCTGAGTACCTTAACTTCTTAATGTGAAAAGTCAGACGAAATATTCTCTTAGAAATTGCTAAGACATAGGAAGACCAGGATAGGTCAGAAGAAAGAATTAATCCAAGATACTTAACTTCAGACTCAGTTTCTATATCAGTATCATCAATTTCGCAACGGCCAAAGGAATCAACGGCTTCATTTAGCTAGTGAGCTCGTAGACCATTAAGCCAGTGAGAGCCCATCCAGTGGCCAGTCCATGAATTCTAACTTCTGCCAATTCACGACATAGAGTGGCCCTTAGCCACTAGTGAGTGTTTTGATGCTACTTATACCAATCAGTAGTGCTAACTAGCCGTCTTAGCTGAGTCAAATCTGAGTATGCTGCTGATAAGATTGGCTCAAAAGAACAAAACGGTCGTTTCTTGGATATAATTACTTCTATTTGGTTAACAAGTACTACTATTTGAAGCGAGTGCTATCCAACTACTTATTTATCTCAGACAATCAGTA